TTCAACTGGGCATGATTTAGAGACTCTCAAAGACTGGTCATATTTTTGAGAAGTTGGGGGGGAGGAGAAAGAAAAAGTCTTTACAAAGTGATTCCTTTCTTTATGCTTACTCCCCTACAAAAGCAGAGGCTTGCGTTCCTGAATATTCCCTTATTGCCTCAGCAATTGCCTCATACAGCTAAACTCTGCGTGTAACATCCTGCCAAAGAAAATGCAAAACTTTTCATCTTAAATGTTGATCAGACTTACAGGCAGCTCCCTAAGGAATTTGTCTCGCCGTGGTCACCGCTGATATTTCCGTGCTGCAGCAGATCAGATTTCCTCTATGAGTAAGAGCTGAATAAAGAACCAAAGAAAAAATCTTTTAAGAATCAGTTGTTACCAAAAAAATTTTTTAAAAGCAACACACCTAAAGATAATGCGGAACAGTGACAAACACTGACAACGCTGCCTTTCATAGCTTTAAAACACAGTTCACTAATTGTAGAATATACTTGTGCAGGATTACTAAAGATGCACAATATCCACATCTGAAGATGAAGACAAGATAAAAGAGCACATAATTTTGGTGACTTGATATTTTCCGTGCATATTTTTGCAGATCTGAATCGGGTGCTGTGTATGTGGAGGTAAGTAACCCTAGCTGCTTCATCATGACCGTACCGGTGTGTAACTTCTGTTGTTATTCCAAGACTTAATCAGCAGTTGGGAGACCGAGGATGTGAAGGTAAAATTCTTTTCAATACACCAGCTGCTGAGCATCAATTCTTCATTCAGGAGTGTGAAAATGTGACAAAAATGTGCAGCTCTTGAAGAACAAGCTTATAGATGGCTTGCCCCTGCCTGAACGACTCTTGAGCCCTCATCAGTCTGTGCGCAAAAAGGCAGAATCTCTGTTACAATATCGAGGAGAGCTAAAATCCAGCATTTAAAAAAAATGAGCTCATGCATGAAGCATGCACAGATCTCTCTCTCTCTTTCTCTGTCTGAGTATTTAGCTTTAGTTAAATACCCAACAACGTTGAAAAGTAAGACTACCAATGGAAAATTTCAGTAAAGATGGAAGGCTTCCAATCAAAAATATATGAAAGGAAACCAGATCAAACTGACATTACTAGACTCAAAGGATGTGAAAAATGAACCCTGTGGGATATTTCTCATTGATTAGCACCTAAATTTAGACAAAAATTGGATTGTGTTACCCATTTTAAGCCTATTTTAAAATAACAACCCTAAGTCAGGCTAGGAGTCCCTCTCAGGTTTCCTGCATATAAATAGTAAGCCCAGGAGGAACACCAACTTGACCTTCCCATTTGAGAGCTGGTATTAAGACTAAATAAGCCCAAACAATCCCAAAGACAGTTACTTATAAGATGTGCTCATTTAATCTAGAAATTTTTGAGTCAGTAGTCAAGGGCCAAACACTCCCATTTCTACAAATTCATTTTTCAGAGGAGAGCTCCATTTTTAAGCTCATTTTGTATGTTGTGAAAAACATGAGAACAGTGCCAATAAATATGCCTGATGCGAAAAACAATTTTCTGTCTATTTGGAGGCTTTGCAAACGCTAGTTGTCAGTGGCGAAACCCCCTAGACTTCTGCTTCAAAACAACCTTTTATCTGGAAACTATGCAAATATGAAATAAAGTTGTTAGGCGGCAATACACGTGCAAAACACCACCACATCTTTTAAACACATTGAGAAATATTCTTGGTGTCTCTTCATTTTTGAAGAGGACAGAGAGAGCCTACCACGGGATAACTTCTTGAGGCTGTGTTGTGGGATGCTAGGTTTCTCCCCTCTAGCCACTTGACCAGAACACAGCAGTTACTGGGGGAGACCACATTTACCATAGAAGGAATGGCTTCTCTAGAGTTTGTTTCTTTTCCATCTTATTATGCCGCTACATACAACGTGCACCTCCCTCCGACAGAGAGCTGAGGAATACACCCTTTTCCCACACCAAGCAAAGACACTCATGCTGAAAGAGAGCACTCAGAGCAAACATTTTAAATCACCTAAGCTGGCCTTTTCTGCACTGACTGTCTTCAGTGAGAGCAAAATTGTCTGCACAGGCAGATGCATCTGAGTTGAACCCAAACCCACCCTGAAAGACAGAAGGTGAATAGACATTTTCAGTAAATGTACCTGAAGGGACGCTAAAAGCTGAAGGCAGAAGCAGTGGGTAAGCTGCTGGTTGGCAACAGGGGAGTCCTGGGTTCAGTTTGCTCTTCCCACACAAAGCTGCTGAGTACTTTCCCCTGAGCTGTGCCTGTGCAGTAAGGGGGAAATGTGGCTGCAGGATGGGTAGGGCACACCTCAGCCAGCTTTCATCTAGCAAGCTGTAGCGTAGCCTGCAAGTATTTAGCAGCTAAGGCTGAACAGAGCTGTAAGGAACAGCAAATTGCTTAGCATCGATACTCAAACTGAGAAGCCTAAGGCTGATGCAAATGCTTCTACCCATGCCATAGCCTCTTCCCTAGCAGAATGGTGACATGCTCTCTGGCTGTTTCTAAACTGACGTGCAGCTGTTTGCAAAGGAAGACCTGGGATTCTCAATCAGATCACCTGCACTGGGGAGCTGTGAAAACCAGGGCACAAGTCTGGCATCAACCGGGCTTCGTCCAAGTTCCCCATCTGTAGATGACAGTGACAAAACTTCTGTGGCTCATGGAGTCTTTTAAGGGTGAAATTCATTGCAGAGGTCCAAGTGTTACCGTAGTAGCAATCTCAGAAGTAAGGTGGAGGTAATTTAGGAATGAAGTCCAAACAGTGATGGGATTTACGTGTCTGAAGCAAACGGATGCTTTTGAAAACCCTAGCTAGATTCTCCCAACCACTATGTATAAAATCCAAAAAGTGTTTATGCCAAACACTGAGCACAGTCAAGGAGCCAATGTCCAAACATTAAAACTGATTACAAGCAAAGACTTAAAAAAAAAGCAAATGTCAAAACCCTGAATCTTCAGTGTATGATTTCACCCAGGGATCCTCATGGCACATACAATTTCACTGTCTGTAGGGCAACCTGGTGACAGCACATTATTACAAGAACTGCCCTACAGATGGCTGATTTATGCTTGTTGCTAAACTATTAAAAAAACTTGCACGCAAATAGTCTCTCTCCCTGTCTATTAAGAGACAACAAATGCAGTACGCAAGAGTGCACTGAGTTACGAGACTTCCTTCTGGTGCCCGTCTGTCTGAGTTCAGTTTTTATGCACCAAAAGACCCTGATGAAATTGTATCGTTTTATGATATGGTTCCACAGTCACTTCTGAGTGTATGTTTGGTTGCTGCAAACCTCAGGAACAGTCTCAGGATGACTACAATACATGACTCTGCAATAGCTAAAGATAGATATCAGGTCCAGATTTACAAATAAAACTGGTCCAAAATTAGGATTCCCCCCCCCCCCCCCCCAAAAAATAGGAGCCCCCCCCCCCCCCGTATGTACAAGCTCATTCTTCCTCCTTTTAAAAATACCGTTGAAAACACACTATGATTTTTACTACTCTCCCCCTAAAGCAAACTGTACACCTGAGAACCCCTTATTTTGATAGTGGTTTGTGCAGAATGGCGGTAAGAGTTTTCTTTCTCCTTTACTGCAGTATTTGCTGTAATAATTCTGACTTCTGACTATGTGTAACATAATTTCTTCATTATCATTGCTCTATTATTAATACATACAGTTCTTTCTTTATTTCTACAGCTCACAGTCATCTGACACAAAGACACATGTACTTCTTGGATTGCAGTGAACTTTGTTCTCCCTTCGGATGTAAATAATAGGAGGGAAAACAGATCAGTCCTGGCTGAGTCTGACTCCACTGAAAAACAATTTTGAATAAACAATCAAGAAGAGAGAAGCTGTCCTCCTTACCTGGTCTGGGATGTACAGTGCACCTTGAAAGCCTCTTAAATGACAGAGAAGAATTAGAAATAGTTGAAAGTTTCTACTCATCCAACCACAGGGCTCAGGAAATGACCGTGTATGTTGCAACGATTAACTCCTTCCTCACTTCTAATGTCTTCGCTATTTCAAGTACAGTAGAAAAATCCATCTTACCCTTCCACTGCAGTTTGGCAACTAAAGCCATGCCCTACACATGATTTCTGGTTCACACTGAGAATATGCAGGTGGCCAGAGGAGATGCCTCTGATCACCTCCATGGAAGAGAGAATTTGCAGTGTCTTCTGCATAACTGTGACCAAGTACATTTTACTGTTGAGTGAAGCTTATGTGATGAAGTGTTGAAATGACTAAGTAATGGCTTGAGCACCTAACTCTAGTTTTTTAGAAGAGGCTCAGAGCAATATTCTCAACGTGACTTCAGTGTTGCCCAACAGAGCAAGGAAAAAAAAAGTTATTTAAAGGAGCAGCATCCATTGCAGTCTGGAGAGGCATTTGATGTACATATGGTGTATTACACGTTTATGCACGGGGGTCTCTAGGTGAAAGTCAGGCATGCTGGAACATAAGGACTTAGGTCCTCTGCACATAAAACCCCTTCTGCCCCTAAAAGCCTGTTTCCCTTGGCTGAACGTACCTGTTCGACTGAAAGGCGTTTCTGAGCCTGAGCATTATATAAAAGCATTAGCCTGAAAGCTAGTAAAGGCCAATTCCACACAAAAGCACAGGCTGCCTTTGGGGAGCAGGCACCTCCACGCTGAACCCAAGGTGGCACCCGGGATCTCTGCATGCAGGTGCAGGGGTGATTGGTATCCCAAAGTAGATTCCCCCCACAAAACCAGCAGGCTGAAAAAGAAAACACTTCCAACAGTTCAGACTGTAACACTGAAGACAGACCTGTGCTTTGTACCCTTCTCTTTTTTTATGATTTAGAAAACAAGCCCTGGACATATGTGCATACGTGTCCTTTCCACAGCCTTGAAGTCTCTTCACCTAGGCATGCATGTGTGTTATTTTAAAAACCTTATGTGGGAGGGAAGTGTCGCTTCCTGCATTTGGGATGCTGGTAGAGGAAAAGAGAATAGAAATATCTCTGACATGTACTTTTATACAGCAATTTCATAGCCCAAGCACCCAGCTATGATGGTTTGGGTTTAGTCTTCTCTTTTAGAAGAGCTAAATATGTGGTTTGGGCATAAATCACGCAAAAGTCCACAGAAGCTAGAAGAGGTAGGGAACTAGCCCATCCTTCTCAGCAAAACTGAGCTGACAAAGCAGGACTTGTGTGTCAGCAAGCCTGTGCTCCACAGATTTTTCCATGGGAGAGGCTTTGTATGAACTACATAAACGACTTCAATAGCAGGCACCAGAGCTCAGCACTGTCCAGCTCTTGGTGGATGGTGGGTTTCAGAAAGAGGTTTCTTCTTAGGTTACTGCTACTTACAAGACCTGGTCACTCAGGAATAAGTGAGTGCCTTCCCCAGTGCTGATCACAAGCACCCTCCTTGTGTGGAGAGCACCGTTGCGCCCGGCTTCAGGTTCCTCTGGGCAGGAGGCACCACCCGGTGCTTCCTCCCTCCCCCGGATGACAGCAGATCTGGTACCTCAGCCTGCAGAGCTTCTGAGCCTGTGAAGATACCTTGTGTTTGGGTTATCTGAGGCAGGGGTGGGGTTGTCTCACTTAGCTCTGGGCATTTGCACTACGGATGTCTACACCAGAGCCAGTCATTCAAGGCACTCTTGAATATAGGCGATGGAGAGAAACGGACCTTTGCAAGGTTCTTTATCTAGGCATTTTAATGGCCAAGTAAGAGTTCCTTTTGATATATATGTATGCTTGTATAATTTTTTTATGCAATCAAGATTTTATAAAAATAACAAATAAAATCCTTATTCTCCTGAAGTTAAGTTCTTCCATTGTCTTCATAGGGATTATTTCCAGCAATAATGACTCCTGAGGCATCCTCCTGTGAGACAGTGAGGAGCGTCATCTGTACTTGATGTTCATCCTTTCATGGTCTACCACAAAAATAAGAGGGATGCTCACGATCCTCGGTGTAAGCAGGTGCTTACTTGCCTTTTTTGAATGCAGGCCAAAACATTAGGGTGATTCCTCAAGCTAGGGCTACTTATTATTATTTCATAGCTTCATATGCAGAAGCATCAGGGAGTCTTACATTAAGCATGGCTGCAGGACAGAGACCCAGGTTCTTCTTGCCTTGACTCCTCTCACTTTCACATACAAAAACTGAATCAACTGTCAGTCTTTGTCAGCTGCCAGGTTATTTCTCACCATGAGCCTACAGGTAAACAGGAAGGAGTTTCAGTCTCACAAGCTCAAAGCATGCAAAAAGTATTGAATCAGACCTCCTAAAAAAAAAGAGATTTGGTTTTCTTCCTAGGTTTTTATTTAACAACAATTTTCTTTCAGTTCAAGTGTAGCAGGTTAGAAATAGACCCTTTTTCCACTTCTTGATCCCTAAGGGGTAAAATATTTAAAATTTTACAACTTGTATTCACTGCCATTTTTAAAGAACCATTCCCCTCTAAAACTGGGAAAGGAACTTTCAGAACAAAAAAATCAGCATTTACTTTTGGTAAAAAAATATGAAATTTGACAGTACTGGAATATTATATGATATAATAAGTATAAGCAGTAATTAATGCTGCTGTACAATATACTATCCACGTTAAAATTTCCTCAGCAATTAGGTGCTAAGAAAGCACCACTCTGAAGGCTAATCATGTATTTCAGAATGATTATGAGCAATGCTGTGAATTTTTGTAGATCAATTTCCTTTTGGTGAAGTTCTAGCCTTCTGTAAATCCACAGTCAGCTTCTTACTGAGCTCAGTAGGGTCAGGAGTTCATCTTGAGAGTATTTAGGTTCCTGCCTTTTTTGGTAAGAATCTGCACTTTGACTATGTTCTCCTGTGAGATGGTGACATGACTTTTGTGTAAGACATTTTAAACTACCCTGGTAATATTTTAGACTTTTTTTTGGTTTTAAACTGATGTTAGAAAGCTCCTTAGTCTATCTATAGTGTGGAGATCTTCCTCTAGGGTGGCTCTTGCTCCTGGAGCCTGGAGGAAGCAAATGCAGACAGGGATCTGATTTTTGCAAGGCCCCGAGGGCTCCCCAGCCCCAGGGCATACCAACCCCTTGCATAAAAACAGAGAAAAAATAAATGTCTTGGGGAGTTGCACTAAGGCTAAATGTGTTTTTTTAACAGCAATGGTATTCCCAGAGAAGCAAACACCAGCTTCTTGTCTTTCAAGAAAGATGAGGAACTCCTAGAAAGAGTCCAGAGGAGAGCAACAAGGATGATAAAAGGACTGGAGCATCTCCCCTACAAGGAAAGGCTGAGAGAGTTGGGCTTGTTCAGCCTGAAGAAGAGAAGACTGAGAGGGGACCTCATCAACACATACAAGTATCTTAAGGGTGGATGTCACGAGGACAGAGCCAGACTCTTTGCAGTGGTGTCCAGCGACAGGACAAGGGGCAATGGGTACAAACTGAAACATAAGAGGTTTCAGTTGTATATGAGGAAAAAATTCTTTACTCTGAAGGTGACCAAGCACTGGAACAGGCTGCCCAGGGAGATTGTGGAGTCTCCTTTTCTGGAGATATTCAAAGCCCGCCTGGACAAAGTCCTGTGTAACATGCTCTAGGAGAACCTGCTTTAGCAGGGGGGTTGGACTAGATGATCTCCCAAGGTACCTTCCAACCCTTGCCATTCTGTGATTCTGTGATTCTGTCAGCAGCTGAGGAGGGTCTGGGGTAATGCACAATTGCAGGCTAAATACAGGACCTGCTTTGGGTCCCTCTGATGGAGGGCATGGCAGATGTTGATGTGACAGGAAAGCAAACAAGAGAGGCAAGGTTGTCATTGCACTCCTCCTAAAGGGTTCTTCACCTCAGCTTGAGGTACAGTGGGAGGCAAAGAGAGCTTGCACAGGTGGCAGTGGTGGTGGAGGGGTCTGTAAGCACAGCAACATGGGAGTGTGAACAGGGTGGTGGACGGTGGGCAACCTCAAGAAAGAAGTCCTGTGCTTTGAGAGTGAGAAGATGGAAGGGTAAAACTGTATGGAAAGAAGAAGGAGCTGGGAGGGCTGGAGAAGTGGGGGAAGGTGGTAGGAGTGAGGGAGGCTAAGAGAATGGGTCCCAGAACTGTGGAAGGAGGGCAAGCAGAACGGAGGGGAGGAAAGATGGTCTGGTAACATCCATACTGTATCATAACAGAGGGGAAAGAAAGGAGGAGAGTATTCTGGCAGACTTCTGCTTCTCTGTCGTCCAGCACCAGGAGGTCCTGGGCAGATCTCCAGGGCTCAGGCACTTGGTCCATTCTAGGCAGGCAAGGTCGTCATGGCATGAAGTGTCCCACAGCAAGGTGAGCTTTGCAGAGGGATGGAGGGAAGGCAGGAAACCAGTGAAAAGAAAGAGGAGACTCCTGCTTCAGTCAACCTGATACCTCCAAGCTCCCTAACACCCACCCGCCTCAGAACTGAGTTGTGATGCCAACAGTGACAAGGACAGACAGGATACATTACTTTGGTGCTCGTTCTACAGCCATTGAGCTGGTTGTGCTGTGATGCCATTACATATCTGATGAAACTCCAGACCTCAGTTATGACTAACTGTCCATTTCAGTGCTAACACGCAACCACCTGTGGAGCTCTCCAGAAAGAAGACATTCCTCTTTACTCTCCAGGGAATAAGCGGACAATCTTGGCCAATTACTTCTAAAGTTAGATTCAGTATCCAGATATCCTAGGCCCATGAAAGGGTGATATGGTGAGAAACAAAAACCTCCTTAACAGTTTCTCCTTGCACAAGGAAGTGTGACCTGCTTCCTTGTCAAACAGCACAGCCTTCTTAGGGTCAAAACATCTCAACTGATAGTTATTCATCCCCAAACCTGCAGGTTCATGTAGTTTTGCCCAAGAGAAAATGAAGGGAAAAAACTCAAAGCCAAAAAGATTCATTTCAGTGTTTTCAAACTGACATATGTTCATTTCAGCATAGGAA